AATAAAAAAAATATGGTAAAAAACTGTTATAATAGTGTGCTAGTGTTTTAAAAAAAATAATCAGTGTTTCTGAATGAATCCTCTCTAATGAATGGTTCAAAAACTCAATAAAGACACCTACCGCCATCTAAAGGCGTATCGATGTAACCTAGCGTTATGAGTTTTGTATTTATATTATTATGGCTACATAAGAATAGCACTATTCAGGTATTGTTTAAAAAAAGACAAATTAAAAATACATACAATTACATAATAAATGCCCTAATATTTTAAATGCCTCCATTTATTCCACCAGATCAGTTTTACATTGTATTGTAATTTAGTTTTTTTTTTAATGCATTGTGTAATCTAAACCTGTGATCTAAATCTAAATCTGTGTATAAGATATCATGACTGAAATTTAGCAACACAAACATCTCCTCCATAGTGAACAGCAGTATCAGACAGACTATTTACATTTTACAGTATGACGTCAACAAAGGCTTTCCTTCAATTTGCAAAAAAAGATTCTTTATAATATGCAGCACACACTCACTTCTCTAGAACAGAGGAGCCCAATAAAGCTGCACTGTTGATGGAGAAGAGAGAGATTAGGGGTCATAGTCCATAAAAAGGAGGATGGGGGTTATATGGTTATTTGATGGAGGGATGGAAAGACTGAAAACTGGGTGAGGAAAGGGGGGTATTCCTGTACCCCATCTGTTCCCCTCAGTCACGACTAAGAAGATAGGGATGGGGTCAATCAGAGGGCAGGGGCTGGGTAGCTCACTTGCTGCATGTGAAGCCATGAAAGTCATCTAAAAGAGATTAATTAGTAATGTTAGGGGAGCACTGGCTGTACCCCACTGATTCCTCAGCAGCTGTGAGCCACGCATCTGGTCTGAGCCATGGGCCTGTGAATGGCCGTGATTCAGTGGGTGGGGCCGAAGTAGGAGGAGCCACTAAAATTATCTGTGATCTATGCTTTTCTCTTTTAAGGCACTGGGCTGCCACTGTCTCCTCTCTTTTTACCGCGAGGGTTATAATTAGTGAGAAATGCCGAACGCAAATTTCTCAAAGAATTATTGAGAGGCCCGAAAGCGGCACAGAAAGATTTCCAGAAGCATGCGGTGGCCATAGCTTGTGTAAACTGAGGCCAAATCAAAGCATTTATGGTGTAATATATTATATTTAGAATAAACTTTCATCAAGCAAACCCTAAATGATTCGATAGTTTTACAGAAACCCAAAACCACCCCAATCACTCCCCACTGCCGCACAGGAATGAGGTGCCTTCTTTCTCAATGCGGACCCCCCTGGGCCCCTACCGAGACTGTATATCAAAAAATCAGTCAAGTGTCGGCATTCGCACATAACCATGTCTCAAAAAAGGATTTTAATTGGAGGAACTCAGCAGGAGCCGACACAGGAGCCCTTTCTCTGCGGGTCGCATGTAACAGGCCCCGCCATTGACCGGACTCTCCAGCCCCCGTGGCTGATATACGGCGGGCTTGCATTAGGATGGCTGTGCGTAACTTTGAGAGGAGAGGCTACGTAGATCAGCCCATCAGCGCAACTCTTGTCACCCTCCTTTTTTTTATGAGTCTGAGGGTTTTTTTCCTGTGTAAAGATTTATGACAAGTTTTTTTTCTCTGCTATTTCATGGCTGTTTGAGTGGGGTTAGTTAAGCCCAATTCAACATGAAGACCTGATTGAGATGTACTAACAGACGCTACTGTAGTTGGCAGTCACGGGGGGAGGGATAGGTTGGGTACAGCAAAAGACGTTAGGAGAGGCAGAGGAATGTTTCAGGCCTGTAAAATAGCTGCCTGTCAAGCCGAGACGCTTGCCATGTTTGGGTGGAGAGCAGCTTTTAATGGAAAAAGACAATTTGGCGCTCTTTCTGAAAGACTGACTTTCAGTGAGTGCTTTACAGGCATCCGGCGTCTGTACACATGTGGTCGGACAACTGATAAATGGACAGGACAACTAATCTGAAAGGAAAACATTCTCACTTTAATTACCCCCTATCTTTAAGCTGTGTGAAAACTGAAATTATAGCTGTCAGGCCAAGTAAATACTGAATGCACAGCTTTTCCCTTCACAATTGGCATCTTGTGTGTTTGAGTATGTGTGTGTGTGTGAGAGAGAGATTCATCCAAAGCCGTAATAGCAGTATCTGTAACATAGAGAAATGTAGTCGTTCTAATGGTGTAAATGTCATTCTGACACTTTTACTGTCCACATGCACATGCCAAGGAGCTGACCTATGCCTGTGCATGTGTTACTGCAGGAAAAATTCTCAACAACGTTGCTGACCCCCAAGCAGTGACGTGTCTGAGGCTGTGTTCTGCTTATTTAACAAGAAATATCCATGAAACAATGAACACTGTTTTTAAGTACCAGTTAATATTCTGTGTCATCTCCCAAATGTTCTCCTTAAAGCAGGGCTATAACCACTATATACACTTGGAGGGGGAGGGATAGGTTGGGTACAGCAAAAGACGTTAGGAGAGGCAGAGTAATGTTTCAGGCCTGTAAAATAGCTGCCTGTCAAGCCGAGACGCTTGCCATGTTTGGGTGGAGAGCAGCTTTTAATGGGGAAAGACAATTTGGCGCTCTTTCTGAAAGACTGACTTTCAGTGAGTGCTTTACAGGCATCCAGCGTCTGTACACATGTGGTCGGACAACTGATAAATGGACAGGACAACTAATCTGAAAGGAAAACATTCTCACTTTAATTACCCCCTATCTTTAAGCTGTGTGAAAACTGAAATTATAGCTGTCAGGCCAAGTAAATACTGAATGCACAGCTTTTCCCTTCACAATTGGCATCTTGTGTGTTTGAGTATGTGTGTGTGTGAGAGAGAGAGATTCATCCAAAGCCGTAATAGCAGTATCTGTAACGTAGAGAGATTTAGTCGTTCTAATGGTGTAAATGTCATTCTGACACTTTTACTGTCCACATGCACATGCCAAGGAGCTGACCTATGCCTGTGCATGTGTTACTGCAGGAAAAATTCTCAACAACGTTGCTGACCCCCACGCAGTGACGTGTCTGAGGCTGTGTTCTGCTTATTTAACAAGAAATATCCATGAAACAATGAACACTGTTTTTAAGTACCAGTTAATATTCTGTGTCATCTCCCAAATGTTCTCCTTAAAGCAGGGCTATAACCACTATATACACTTGGAGGGACATGTTTTCCCTGAAATTTTAAATAGTATACGATTAATATGAATTCTTTAATGATGAATTCTTAAACTTTAACCCTCAACATTGAATCTTTGGCATTTGGTTAAATATATATATATATATATACATATACGTTACATATACAGTATACATTATTAGTGCTTTTTGTCAGTTATAATTAATTGATTTATTTTGTCAGCAGGGTTATGAAAAATTCAGATCTATCTATGCCTATAAGCAAATTAATTTGAAAAAAAGTCTTAATTAAATTCTCAGTCACACACAAACGTGCATATGCAGAACACAGTCTAAAGGTTTTTCTTATCTTTATCACTGAGCCTGCTGTATTTAAAACACACCACCATGAATCAGAACTAGATTTGAAACTCATGATAATTCAATAAAGAAATGATTTGATTTAGTAAATCATATTAAAACAGGTAACATTGGAATGAACAAACACCAACAGGACTGTTTAGAATACTTAAGTAATCGATTAGTGACTGAGCGTTGACAGATTATTGGCACAGAATAAGGTATTCGTTTCTTTTATTGAATTCGGCCCATAGTTTCAACCAGGCTCCCATTGTAAATAGGTTCGACTTTTGGTTGAACGGTTGATTGAGGCATAGCACAAAAAACATCTTTTGTTCCTTTTATTCACAATTATCAACATAATGGCCGTTATCTGCAGCCTTTAGCGATGCTGATGGTTTATAGAGAGGGCTTTAATAGATTTTAGGAGGACAAAGGTAGGCAATGTTTAGCTGCACATGTCAGTCTTTTTGTGTGTAGGGAGAGTCTGCATTAAAAACCTCATTCACAAGGCTGGTTGATGTGTAATTAAATGTGATTACTGCCTCAGTCTGTGTGTGTCCTTTCTGAGGTCACTCGCACACACACACAAGCGCTGCAACACTCCGTCGCCAGGTTTCATCCCCCTTCCTTGGCTTCCTGAGGAGCCTGTGACTTTGGTGGCTGATGGGAAATTTTGTGCATGCCTGAGCTCACAAAGGCACTCTTTCAGCCGCATGCATGCTTGACCTCTCGCAGTTCATCGCCCCGCTTTGTGCTCCCGTGACCTCGCGCCGACCAGGGGTTTCCCCTGGAGGTCAGCGGTTCAATCGGGTGCCTGTGTCTAATTTCTTCCTGGCTACAGAATCTCCCCCCCCCCGCCACCAAATTCTGCCCAGCAATCTGCCCACTGTCTCCCCTTCTGCTGCTCGGGCCTAATTCCAATCTTCAGGGATTAGGTGTGGAGTGACAAGACCCTCCGGCCAATGGGCTGACTTGTCAGTTAGGTTCGAAGGCCAGTGGTACACAATAGCCAGACTTTTCCTGTCTCCCACCTAAAACCAGCCCCCCTAAAGCAACACACTAAAATCCCTTCCCAGGAGAGCGCATGCCTGACTGGGGCACGCTGGTCCCAACCTCTCTCCTCCAAACACACCAGTAACAGAACAGAAGCCTCTGTTGCCCGGATTCCGCAGGGCTCCTGTTGCAGATCAACATCCCTTGCTCCTGCTTCCCTTTCCTGCTCAAATCTCTGTCCAAATGAAACAACACCGTGTTTCGTCTGTGTAGGTGCTGTTGACAGACCGAGCCATTGATATGATCTCTGCATGCATAAGTTCTACACCGTGTGTCAAAGTAAAGCATCGCGGGACTCAAAAGATATTGCAGGTGTTAGTTACTCTGAAAACAAAACGAACAAACTGTCAACTTCCAATTGGACTAACCGTGACAGGCTGTAGGCAGCGTGCAGTTCCACCCCTGGCCACTGGAGGCAGCAGGGCGCACTAGTGCCTTTGGTAACGCCACACTGGCAGCGCTGCGCATACTTCCTGGTTACAGATTGGGGAAACAAGAACATTTTCGCACAATTCGGGAAATTTCTTTCTAAGTATTTGTTGAATCTCCTGTAACTTTATACAGACGGCACAAATATATCAGGAAGTTTATTTATAATCGTTTTAAAACAGTCATGAACCGATGGTCACTTAGAAATGAATGACTGATGGGAAAAAGTGTGGACGTGGTATGTAAACAAACTTTTTTATAACCTCCTCAGTCTTGATATGAGAAACTTTATAGACAGACAATGTTTACTCATGAGAAATGTTAATTGTTGTATTGAATAGCATATTAAATTAGCTAAAGTAAAAGCAGTAAACAATCATTAATATTTCTGGTTTGTATACTGTATAATATTCATACATGTTGTCACATGCACACTGATATTACTCTGATAAATTAAATGTGTGTTTTCAAGAGTGTTTAAAAAATAAAAGCACAGCATATTTTCTGTGTCTGCTACATGCAAACACATGCTGCCATTTCTGATTTTATTGTAAACTGAGCCCCTCAAAAAACATTACCAATCAATTTGTTCTATGAGTTGTGTAAAAGTACTCAAAAGTGCTCCTGACAACACAACTGTTGCCATATGGCAGGAAAACCTAAAACACATTTGACAACTGCACTGAATGTTTGTAATCAGCACAGCAATTACAGATAAGACGTTTTTAATGTTGTAAGTGAATCAGGTTAGTTGAATATGTCTGTAGACTAACAATAGATAAACGTGTTCAATTTGTTCCAGATGTCATTCTGTAATGATCTGCTTTCTTTAGCATGAAAGGAAATCTTCTAGCCCTATATCAATCTAAATCTAGTATCTTTTGTGTGTTTCATACATAGTCTGATTGGTATAAAGTTTACTAGAATAAAATTTGTATTGATTATATAGATTTTGTATGCTTTGATTTTTATTGATTACTGTTTTCCAGAAGCTGTTTGGATGTTTTAAAGCATACAAAATGAATAAATAAGCTATTTAATGGTTTATTAATGGTTTATACATTGCCGTTTTGTATTAAGCTGTATATTCCTCTTCATACATAAAGTATAACACTAGCAAATGAGTACATATAAAAAACAAAAATCTCTCATTCAGTAGGGTTGAATATGATGCTGGTGTATTTGTTTTCGTCTGCGTCTCCACAGAACGTTATAGCGGCCAATTGAAGGACAGCTGCATCAAGCCACTTATCTCAATTAAACCTTAGGCCATTGTGGAAGCACCACACATACCTGTCTGGACATTAAAGATCTCAGCTGTCTGAGAGCCAAAATGACTGTGTCAAACTGGGGTCTAATCATGAACGTTGTAAACAGCATTGTGGGTGTGAGTGTCTTGACGATGCCCTTCTGCTTCAAACAGGTAAACACATGGTTGGAGCTTATGGGAATATGTGCTGTGTTGGTTTATATGCTTACAGGAGGATTCCAAATGTTGAAATCTACAATAAGGAACTGAATGAACAAAGTGAATCAGAAATTGATAAGCTGCTATTTTAGTTTGTCCACTATTTTATACAAGAATCAGTAAAAGCATGTAACTTTTACTGGGGCTGGAATTTAAACATATAGGGCATCTGTATTTGTCTCTTAATTTTTATAGCCATTTTTTCATTCTTTTTGCAGTGTGGAATTGTATTGGGTACATTGTTGTTGTTCTTCTGTTCGTGGATGACCCACCAGTCCTGCATGTTTATAGTCCACTCGGCCAGTAACACAAAACGCAGGACTTACGCTGGACTAGGTGAGAAAAAGCAATAGACACACTCTGAGGTTTCATCAATTTCCATCATTATGATAATGTTTGAAGCATCCTCAGTGTGGATTACAGTGGAATAATTTATTATATTGTTAATTAAATTAGGTGACCAGATTGCATCATCTGTATTTTTCTCATTACGAGTAAGCAAAATAAAACAGAAAAGCCAAGAACCTATAACTCACCGCTAATGCAGACTAAAAGTTGTATTTGTGGTATTAGTGTTATTTAAAAAAAATTCTAATCAAGAGGAAAATGTACAACCCTTTTTGTGAAAGCGGTAAAATAAAATCTCTGTAATTTTACAAGACAATTTCACAAGAAGCCTTTTTCATTTCTCTCTCCCTTCCCAGCTTTTCATGCTTATGGAAAACCAGGCAAGGCACTTGTGGAATTAAGGTAAGATGACTTGTGGAGATTCATCTTCACCCTCATGAATTAAATAAGCTCTTATTGCTTGTATGATCTACTTATATTCTCTCTGTTTTCAGCATGATTGGCCTCATGTTGGGGACATGTATTGCTTTCTATGTCGTCATCGCAGATCTGGGTTCCAACTTCTTTGCTCAGCTGCTTGGGCTGGAGGTAAGAAATAAGATTGTATGTTGTCACATGACTAAAATTATGTTAACTACTGTTGTTACTCCAACACATTTCTTCCAAATCAATTAATGATAAGCAATTCCCAGAACTGATCATTGGCCTTATTCATAAACCTTCTGAAATGATCAAATCAAAGGCCGCTATCTTAAAAAAAAAGTGCTGAGCTGTGTGTCATGTAACAATAAAAAACACTTCATAGACTTTTTATGACTTTAGTGTAGATGAGATCACAGTTTTTGTGTGAAAATAATTTTTTTTATCACACCTGTCAGTGACAGGTGATTTCTTACTGGCCTGGCCACAAATCTGTATTTTCATTGTGTTACAGTCATTTTCATTGTGTTATGCAAGATGAGCCATCTTTTTGTGAAACGGGACCGATCACAAAAACGTGACAAGTCATAGTAGGGATTTTGTTTCTTGTATTCTAGTTTTGGTTGCATAATCGTTTCTGAATATTTGACATGTGTTTTCTGGAGAAAAACAAAAAAACTTTAGGCATCTTAGATGAAATGCTGATGGTTAAATAAATAAAAAAAATTATTTTTACTGTACATTAAATGATGACCAATGTTTTCTGTGTCATTTTTCATATAGCTATGTGTTATGTTGCTGTTGTGTATATAAATATACACAGCTTTGTTGCCCTGCATTGGCCGATAACAGCTTTTCTTTTTGCTCCTTCAGGTGACACGTAGCTTCCGTATCGTGTTACTGATCGCTGTGTCGCTGTTCATTGTGCTGCCGCTCAGCTTGCAAAGAAACATGATGTCATCAATCCAGTCGTTTTCAGCCATGGCACTTATCTTCTACACACTCTTCATGTTCACGGTGAGTCATTCCCCTTTCCACAGATCCAAACTCCAACCTGAAAAATGTAATATTAGATTCCATCAGCACACCCTCATTCAGGTGTAGGAATATATGTGTTTGTGTAGACATACACATATATTCACTATATATGCCATTTGTATGAGAAAGTAATTTGATCATTTAGCAGTTTGAGTATATTAAATTATATAAAAATGTTGTGTAAAACATAAGAGTGCACTTCAACATGACTTTCAAACACTTCAGATTGCAGCTGTTTGTTATGGTTGCTTTAAGGTCATGTTTTTCACTTTCATTTCAGGTCACTTTAATGATGCTGTGTTTAAAGTATGTGTGGAATTCATTTATAGCATTTAAAAAAAAGAAAAGAAATTTGCCAATTTTTGGTCCCTTTTAAAGAGTGTAATGTGGCGATTGCCTGTTTTTCCATGGCAGCAGATTTTCAATGTTTCCTGCTCCAAATCTGTAAAAGCGTAAAAGTAAAGAGCAAGTTCTGAAAGAACTGAAGAGAACCATTACAAAACATTCTGAAACCTTATACCGAGTTAGTGTTGTACGCAGAGCTTTTAAATCAAATTTATACTTAAATTCTAGACTCAAAATTGTTTTTTTGTCCAAGGTATATACAATGGGTTTAAAATGCTGAGATCATATTGAAAATCTTAATTTTTTATTTAATCTGTAAATAATTTTAGGATTTTGATCAATTTAAACCAGAGAATGAAGACATATTTTAGGTTCTGCACTATTTCTAGGTCACTTATCATGCAGACAGACTCTCTGGAACGTTCTCAAATCTAGAGAACACCATCTGTTTTTATACAAACTTTTGAAGATTTCACTGAAACTATTATGCCGATAACATAATTTGTAATAAAATAATATAAAAAATATAGATTAGAATAGAATTATTTCTATGTGTAGTCCAGATTTCTGGACTGAACATCTTATAATAGTTCCAGAGTCATTGACATTAATGTTTTTAGTGCGCTGCAATGAGTGCACAACCTATGCAGTTGTATATCTACTCTATATATTAATCTAGTATATCTATCTTTTATCTTGCTCAGTGGGCCATTTTTTTCCCAACCCATTTCTTAGTTTAGCATTTTACCATCTAATTATGTTTTCCCTCTGCCCCCATCTGAACCGCTGCCCCACCCCCATTCCTGATGCTGACTTCCGACTGACCATCTGACGCTCTGACTTGGCGGCCTATAGATAGTGTTGTCCTCTCTGCGTTACGGAATAATCAGGGGCTCCTGGGTGGAGCAAGTACATCTGTGGCGCTTCAAGGGTGTCATACAGTGTCTGCCAATTATCGCCACCACCTTCTGCTGCCACCCGTAAGTAATCCGCCCCAGAGAACGGACCATACCACTGCCATGGATTCAACTACATTACCCAAAATTCCCTTCCTCCTCTGTCCACCTTCATTCAATCCAAAGCTCTGTTTGTCGGTGCCATCTGGTTCAGGGTTTTTTTGTGTGTGTGAGGTTAGTGCCATGGTGGCAGAATTGATATGTGTTGTGTGTCATCAGAGTTGTCTTGACCCTTTGGTAATACCCAGCGTCCTCTGATATACTGCCGCTGGAGTTAAATCCTATGACTGAGTAAGCAGATCTGATAGGGTTGGGATTGGTGGTGATTCTGATGGTTAAACGGGCTGGCACTCTTGATTTTGAAGGGAAAGTGGCAAGCTACCGCAAATGTTTTCTGCAAATGTGTGCAGCAATCAGATTTTACCCTTCAAGATTTTTTTGCATGCAACAGGAAAGTTTTGCTGTCCTGTAGAGATGAACTGGCATTGAAAATTATGTGTGGAAGCTGATCAGTATGATTTGTTTTTCCTCCATTAGTTGAAAAAAATTATTTCCTTTCTTTATCCCCTTGAAGGAGTAGTTCACCCAAAAATGAAAATTCTATCATAATTTACTCACTATAATGTTGTTTTAAACCCATATGGCTTTCAAATCAGGCAGTAATTAACTCTCAGTATTTTTTACACTAAGTTATCATATATAGTACCAATCAAAAGTTTGTGGTCAGCAAGGTTTTTTATTAATACTTTTATTCAGTAAGAATGCATTAAATTGATCAAATGTTACAGTAACATCAAATAGAGTAAATCTATTTAAAATGCTTTTTATAAACTTTCTATTCATCAAATAATCCTGACAAAATTACAATTTACACAAGATTAGTAAGGAACTGTTTTCAACATTGATAATAAGAAATATTAACTTATAATATTAAATAATTAGAATTATTTCTGAAGGATCACGTGAGGCTGAAGTTAATGGCTGCTGAAAATTCAAAATATATTCAAATAGATAGTATGGGTCACTTTTATTATACTTTGATATCTTTGTCTTTTTTTCTGAGCATTTGAAAAGAGTGACCAGCACATTGTCCATGTGTTCCATGCCAAAATAAAGTCATGCACTTTTGGAATGACATGAAGGTGAGTAAAAGATGACAGAATTTTAATTTTAGGATGAACTATCCCTTTAAAAATATTACAGGATCTCCATGCACTCTTCATTGTCAGTCTAAGGGTCTTATCACAGCATCGTTACTGCTCCTCTCGTCGTTCTCTTCCTCCCTCCGCCCTGTCTTTATAGGATGATCTGTAACCCTCCTGCTTTCCCCTCCACCACAGATTGTGCTCTCCTCCTTCAAACATGGCCTCCTCACTGGCCAGTGGCTGAACAAGGTCATTTACATTCGGTGGGACGGCGTCTTTCGCTGCATCCCTATCTGTGGCATGGCATTTGCCTGTCAGTCGTAAGTACTCCACAGTCCTTGCACCGCCTCTCTCCTCCTTTCTGTCGCCTGAATAAGGCCAGTTAGGCTTAATGTAGGGCTCCATTTTCATGGTGCAAAAGGACATCATAACATTCCTTGAATTCAAGAGCCAATGCATCTAATGCAAGTGTGTTTGCCCTGAGAAAATGGACCCTTGTTGGTAGACTGATATATTCTGAAGGTGCTCAGCTTATGTCATACTCATAACTATATTCTTTATTCAGCTGAATGTGGCACTAACCTGCGTGGAATGTCTAACTTTTGCCTTCTGCGTATACTGTTTTGATCCTATTCTTAACACTAACTCTGTCATAGTTGACCCAAAAATGAAAAATCTGTGATCATTTAATCACAGTCATGTCATTCTAAACCTGTATGACATTCTTTCTTTTATGGAGGAAAAGATAGACATTTACGTTTTTTATTCACTGCTTGACTTACTTCTGCCGTAGCTTTAAAATCTCTATTGCATATGTGCATATTAAAAAGTTGCCATGTCAGAAGTCATACAGGTTTGGAACGACGGGTGAGTGAATAATGACAAAATGAGTTTATTTTATGAGTGAACTATTCCTAACCATGAAAGGCCTCTTTCCCTTTTTAACGTGTTTGAATAGCTTGGGTTTTCTTAGCAATAATAGACTGACCCACAAGGTTGTCTTGATTTATTTTGTCAGTTGGCAGCTTGTCAGATCTGCATACAGTTGAAATATTAGTGCATTCTGATACAAGCATTAATGATTCATAAACAAGGAATGATGAGTTTTTGCAGCTCATCATAGTTCATCCATAAAGAGCTCACCGTGACCGGATCTTCCCCTGATGAATTCAACCACTGTGCACTGACACAGTCTTTATTTGTATTATGTTGAAACTCTGATATGTTGTGGGAGTACCATAGACTAATGTTGAGCTCATAGTTGTTACTGGTCTTTGATACTGCTGGCAGACATTTGTCTTGATAAGAATTCACATTATTTTCCCCCATCTTGACCTAATTTTATGTTTCTTTTCTTTCCTTTTCGCTAGCTCAAATATACTAACCATGCAATGGTTTGGTAATCTCAGTGTTTACCTGTTTATGCAATCTTAAGTTTGGGCATGGAGAGACATTGATCTTTCACAACATTAGCGGCATTCACCAGTGTCTATTGATCTTCCACTCCTAGTTCCTTCAGCTGTTCTTTTCTCTTTTTTTAAGTTTAATTTTTCATTGCGCAAATCATTTCCACTGTAGTTTTACTATATCCACATCATATTACATAAAATCTATACAATACACATATGGTTATCATGGTTTTGCTTAGTTGACATGTCTAATATTATCTTTCAAATTCATGTTTTTGTAAACAATTAAACTAAATATATCCAGGTATATTCAGCATATATATATATACAGTATATATATATATATATACATACACACACACACACACACACACACAGTCAAACCAACATTTATTCAGACAACTTCAACATTTCTCAATTTATATCACAGTTTATTCGCTATAGTTTAGAAAATGCTAATAAAGTATGACAAGAACTCAAAGTTCAACTGTGTCAACTAACTTTGATAGAAAGGTGTGTAATGGATTACAATCAACCAAAAATTATTCAGCTGTTAAATTTAAGTGCACAATTAGATAATACCAATTTAGGTCAACCAATTACCAAGCAATGCTTAATTTTGTTCAGTCTGTGGTGTAAAAAAGGTCACATTAGCAATTAAAGAAAAAACACTTGGTCAGGTCAAAGTGTCTTGAATATTTTTTGATCCCAAATTTTACTGATAGTCCACTGTATGAAGAATTTTTGGGTGTAATATGTCACAGTTCACCTTATTTTGCTATCCTCATTTAAATTTATAAACTATAGTGTCCTGCATAGTAAAAAAAATATCACAAATTATGTCTGGTGTCTGAATAATTATTGGTTTCACTGTGTGTATGTGTTTGTATATATATATATCTTTGTCAAAGCTACATTTATTTGATAAATTAATACAGTGAAAAGAGTAATATTGTAAAATATTGTTACATATCGGAACAATAGAATGTTTTCTGTTTTAATATATTTTAATTTTTGTTCATATTTTTATGTCATTAATTCATGTGACAACAAAGATACATTTTTTGCAGTAATAACTCCAGTCTTCCAGTTTCACATGGTTCTTTATCCATTTTAAAATGCTGATTTTATGTTCAAGGAACTTTTCTAATTATTATAAATGTTCATAAAATATTCTCAGACAGAAACATCAATTTGTGACAAAAACAGTAACATTTATCCATACAATTCTCTCAGATAAATATACATAGAAGATTCCTTCTATTATCCTTAACATGGTGCTTGTGTTTTTGTCTGTCTATATATATATATATATACACACACACACACACACAGTCAAACCAACATTTATTCAGACACCTTCAACATTTCTCAATTTATATCACAGTTTATTCGCTATAGTTTAGAAAATGCTAATAAAGTATGACAAGAACTCAAAGTTCAACTGTGTCAACTAACTTTGATAGAAAGGTGTGTAATGGATTACAATCAACCAAAAATTATTCAGCTGTTAAATTTAAGTGCACAATTAGATAATACCAATTTAGGTCAACCAATTACCAAGCAATGCTTAATTTTGTTCAGTCTGTGGTGTAAAAAAGGTCACATTAGCAATTAAAGAAAAAACACTTGGTCAGGTCAAAGTGTCTTGAATATTTTTTGATCCCAAATTTTACTGATAGTCCACTGTATGAAGAATTTTTGGGTGTAATATGTCACAGTTCACCTTATTTTGCTATCCTCATTTAAATTTATAAACTATAGTGTCCTGCATAGTAAAAAAAATATCACAAATTATGTCTGGTGTCTGAATAATTATTGGTTTCACTGTGTGTATGTGTTTGTATATATATATATCTTTGTCAAAGCTACATTTATTTGATAAATTAATACAGTGAAAAGAGTAATATTGTAAAATATTGTTACATATCGGAACAATAGAATGTTTTCTGTTTTAATATATTTTAATTTTTGTTCATATTTTTATGTCATTAATTCATGTGACAACAAAGATACATTTTTTGCAGTAATAACTCCAGTCTTCCAGTTTCACATGGTTCTTTATCCATTTTAAAATGCTGATTTTATGTTCAAGGAACTTTTCTAATTATTATAAATGTTCATAAAATATTCTCAGACAGAAACATCAATTTGTGACAAAAACAGTAACATTTATCCATACAATTCTCTCAGATAAATATACATAGAAGATTCCTTCTATTATCCTTAACATGGTGCTTGTGTTTTTGTCTGTCTGGATATTAATGTGTTTGGAAGTGAATAGAATTGAGGTGTCGGTACAGATGCCAGCACAGATGTGTGTGTGTTTGAGAGTGAGGGTGTTGGGGTGGAGGAGGTGTCAGTGTTGGATTCTGGTGTGGATGAGGTAATGCGGCTCTTGAAGCTTACTGTAAGTCCCCCTTTACACACACACACACACACACCCACTTTCTCTGAAGGGTGATGAGTGATATTTGGCTGTGGCTTCTTGGCCGGCATTGACATACAATGCCACTTACACCCGTTCATTAGAAGAGCGAGATGGCGCGACATGACCTCTGATCCAACCACAAACAGTTCCTGTCAGCGCCTACGTTTACCCATCCATTCATAGAAGATTCCTTCTATTATCCTTAACATGGTGCTTGTGTTTTTGTCTGTCTGGATATTAATGTGTTTGGAAGTGAATAGAATTGAGGTGTCGGTACAGATGCCAGCACAGATGTGTGTGTGTTTGAGAGTGAGGGTGTTGGGGTGGAGGAGGTGTCAGTGTTGGATTCTGGTGTGGATGAGGTAATGCGGCTCTTGAAGCTTACTGTAAGTCCCCCTTTACACACACACACACACACACCCACTTTCTCTGAAGGGTGATGAGTGATATTTGGCTGTGGCTTCTTGGCCGGCATTGACATACAATGCCACTTACACCCGTTCATTAGAAGAGCGAGATGGCGCGACATGACCTCTGATCCAACCACAAACAGTTCCTGTCCTACGTTTACCCATCCATTTACATTTATTACTTTAGTTCATTTAGTACGAGCTCTATCCGATGCCAAATTGAATCTTTAGAGAAAAGTTGACTTGCTTGCTCTTTTGACTAAGAGAACAGATACTGTTCATTGAAGAGCAGCATTCTGGGTCCACTGGCACCCTTATACGGCTCCCGCTTAATGTGTAAATTCCACTGTAATGTGTAAACACCATAATGGTGTTATTCCTATCGTAAAATTGTCATGTCAGCTAACACAGCATCAAGTCGCAGGTTCACAGCTTTAGGTGTTATGACGGGATCATTTTAGCAGTATTGCAAAATAATTATTGTGTCAACACTTGGTAGAGGTGTAGAGAAAGTGCAGTGGGACTGTAGCATCACTGATCTTCCCCCTCCACACACACACTGTAATTTCATCAGGAATAGGTTTTTGGGGTCTTTTCTCTCCATTCATCAGGAACGGCTTTTCTGTGGTCCTTTCTTTCAGTCTTATGACACTGAATTCTATGTAATTATAGTTGAATGTCTGAATTCAATTTTGCATTCATGTCATGGCTTTAAAAGCTTTTGATTGACTGTATGGCCGCCGCTTCTTATTTCTCTCTCTCTCAGATTCGGATTTCTCAAAAAAAGATGAAAGGTATTGTCAAAAAGCTTTTGGAAGGACTTGAAAGACTAAAACTTAAACAGAAGGAAATTATAAAACCAGATTTGTAGTTTTTGAGGGAAATACCAAGGCTTGCAAGGCAAGTAAAATCAGATTTTAGACTTTAGTTTTGGGTAAATCAAGAGAATCAACCATTGGGTGGCAAATGATGTCAGTAAATAAGTGTTTCCTTGGAGAAAGAAAATTAGCATTTTTTTTTGCCGAATCTTACATTATGCCACATTCAGATCATAGACATTTTTGGCTTCCTGGAGACAATTGTAGAGATTTGTGCAATACAGTATACAAATAAATGTTAGAATGCAAACTTCCATTGCATTTTGAATGGCAAACATTCTATCAACATGCGCTACTGTTCAAAAGTCAGTAATATTCTTTAAATGTTTTTGAATCAAAAATATTTGCTTAAAATACAGTAAAGCATTGTAAAATATTATAAAAATGTAAAGTAATGGATTTTCTGATTTATTATATTTTAAATATACTTTATTAATTTGATGGAAAAGCTGAATTTTCAAAAGCCATTATTCCAGTATTTGGTGTCAAATGATCCTTCAGAAATAATTTTAATATGCTGATTTGGTGCTCAAGAAACATTTCTTATTATTATCATTGTTGAAAACAGTTGTACTGCTACATGTTTTTGGAAACCACGATACAGTTTTTTTTCCTCTGATGAATCGAAAAAAAAAAAGGCATTTAAATATTTTTTAACGTTATAAATGTCTATCACTTTTAAACAATTTAATGCATCCTTGCTGAATAAAAATATTAATTAGTCTCTTGAAAATGTTTACCGACCCCGAACTTTGAATGGTAGTCAGTGGGAGATTTTCAAACCTCAAACTGAGTTTGAATGGAAAATGAATGCTTGAGCAATATCAAAACTGTGCTGTGTTTTAATGAATAAGTGAAAAATGAAAAAATAAATACACATAAAATGTAGAAGTTTACATAGACGTCTCTCTCTCTCTCTCTCTCTCTCTCTCTCTCTCTCTCTCTCCCTCTCTCTCTCCCTCTCTCCCACTGCTCTGGTTTTTATTGCGAGTGAGTTCCAGCTATGAGACAGACTGGCCTTTGGTGTGAGATCAGGCGTTGGCTTAAAAAGCCCAGAACATGGTACTGTATATCCTAATAAAAGCAGGAATGGGCTCTGACTGTGTCTACGAGAGCTGTGAGTGGGCTGAGAGCAAGAGAGCCCAAACAAAAGCCCATACTGCCAGGAAATTTTATAACATGCTAAAGTCTGACTAGCACTTGTCGCTAATATATAGCAGTTGTAAATTCCCCATTTAATGTTTTGCTGGCGTCTGGTTTTATTGGTTGTCCTGATGACAGACATAGATTTTTTCTGTTCTTTTTGTAGCGGTTTTTTGTTTCTCTGTGATACTGAACACTTTATCAGTGCTCGTTTCATCCAATTCGACTCTCCCTCCTTCCCACCCTCCCTCCATTTTGTCTTTTGTGTGTCTGAAATGAGTGATGGCCTTTCTATATTAAATTCCTGCTTCTCTTGCTCTCTTGCATGCTTGTGTCTCTAGAGCTCAAACGCACAGTTCAGTATGTCCTTATGCTAAATAATGATTATACTGTGACTGGTCAGTTTGAGTTAACCCATAAATAAGCATTTATGTGAATTCACATAATGTTATATTTTGTCATAATGTTACTATAAATCTGATATTGCACAAATTGTGCATCTGTTATAATAATGTGTCCTTTAGTATTGTGATACTTTAAAGGAATGCTTTGGGTTTAATGCAAGTCTGTAGACTTTATCTGTGAAATGCTGTCGATTTATAATATGTTGTCAGTTTGTAAAAAACAGAGAAAAATCATGTTTACTTACATATCCAACATATTGGATCAGTCCATGGTAAAACGGTTAGACCCAGTAACATTCACTTTATATACAAGGACACAAGAAATGAACTGTTTACAAAATGAAACATTCACCCAATACAACCAAATGTTCTTCCACCTAGAACCGTAGCCCCTCTGTTAAACAATGATTTAGACTTATTTACAGCTCAAATAACAAACATTTTGAAAGAACTAATATAAATATTTAATAAAAAATATGAGCTGCACAAATATAACTGAACACTACATTTATAGCTGTAGTAATCGACAGTATGTCATAGTTTTAAGTTGTATTGACCTACTACTTTAATGTATGCATCTTGAAGCCTGATGTATATAAAAAGCTTTTTCTTCCATAGGCAAGTATTGCCCACTTACGACAGCCTGGATGAGCCCTCGGTGAAGAGAATGAGCACAATATTCACCTCCTCGCTCAACGTGGTCACAACCTTCTACATCACAGTAAGTGTGTGAGACCATTCATCAACTGCTAACTGATAATCAGCAGCTTGTTGAGGCCAAAACAAGAACCATTCCATTTATTTTTCTGTTTTAACATTTTCAACTGGAGTGACTGGTTAATTAGCTAATTATTTAGTCACAAGTGTGATCTAAAAGCTTAAAATCTGGCCAGTGCAATCTGACCACCTCTTATCTGCTGCTTTTTAATTTGCTGACAAATGAGAAGTGATCTTTCATTATTATTATATTCATATTTCATAGAAATAAATAAAAATATCTTACATAGTCATGTCATATGACGATGAAATGGTCTTAATTAGTATACTGTATATTACCGTTTAAACGTTTGGGGTCAGTCTGATTTAAAAAAAGAAAGAAATTAATGCCTTTATTCAGCAAGGATGTATTCAATTGATCAACAGTAACATTTAAGACATTTATAATATTACAAAATATTACTATTTTAAATAAATGCTGCTCTTTTAAACTTTTATCAAAGAATACTGAAAAATGTATAACGATTTACACAAAATATTAATCTGTCTTGTTTTGTTTTTTAACATTGATAACAATAATAATAATGTTTCGTGAGGACCAAATTAACATATTCGAATGATTTGTCTGAGGATCATGTGACTCTAAAGACGGATGTCATCACAGGAATAAATTACATTTAAAAAAATATTAAAATAAAAAAAATTATTAAAATTTTAATAATACTTCATTGATACTAATGCATTACTGGTTTACTGTATTTATGATCAAATAAATTCAGCCTTGGTGAGCATAATTGTTTTTTTCAAAAACATTTAAAATTCAAAGAAATTAATGCCTTTATTCAGCAAGGATGTATTCAATTGATCAACAGTAACATTTAAGACATTTATAATATTACAAAATATTACTATTTTAAATAAATGCTGCTCTTTTAAACTTTTATCAAAGAATACTGAAAAATGTATAACGATTTACACAAAATATTAATCTGTCTTGTTTTGTTTTTTAACATTGATAACAATAATAATAATGTTTCGTGAGGACCAAATCAACATATTCGAATGATTTGTCTGAGGATCATGTGACTCTAAAGACGGATGTCATCACAGGAATAAATTACATTTAAAAAAATATTAAAATAAAAAAATTATTAAAATTTTAATAATACTTCATTGATACTAATGCATTACTGGTTTACTGTATTTATGATCAAATAAATTCAGCCTTGGTGAGCATAATTGTTTTTTTCAAAAACATTTAAAATTCAACATATTTTCCAAAGTGTATTTTTTTTTAATAGAAACTGTTAAACTTATAACACTTGTAGCTGCTCTGTCCTTATTGGCTCCTGGGAGCATGTGCCTCAGACACGGTAAAGAAATGAGGATTCAAGGATAGTAAAGCTGCTGTCTGCTCACGTTCTTACTCTTAGATCCATATCTGGCTCCACAGATGATCGCCTTCCCCTGTTGTGGGTGGTGGGCGCACACTGATACCCGGGAATGTCCTCACGATTCCCTTTCAAAGGAACAGAGTGAACTCAGACGATGGGGTCAGACTGACTGGCACATTCTTCTGTGACCCACGTGCACTGACACGCTCCATCAACATCAAATGCTGTGTCTCTTTTATTCCTTCATAAGTATTTTCAGGGCCACTTTGTGTGGAATGTGTTTTAAGACATCGTCAGAATGTTTCTGGTCCCCATGCTCTTCTCTGAAAGTGGGAGTATAAACGTTACCTTGAGAGATAATATTGCTCGTGATTTTTTTTCATAGTGGTCTTTGTGTTCTACTTTCATATTTCATCAGCTTTTTGCTTTTTTTCCTCTTTGAACAAAAGCTGAATTGAATCAGGGGAGGGTTTGTATAATAGAATAGAGAGGGAGTTTTGTGGCGGGCTCAAGGACATCTGCCTGGTGTTGCTACTGAAGGGAACCTTTTCCTCTGCGGATAGATCAAGGCCAGCAAGGTCGGAGAGGGAAGGCACTGCTTTGTTTCTCTGTAGAGAGGGCCTTCGGGGGGCTGACAGGCTTTAAAGACCTTTGAAAAGCAGCTTGCTATTTTTCATCACATAAAAACAATATCATTGCACAGTCAGGAGGTGTTGTGAGGTCATCAAAGAGACCAGGAAAGAGACATGGATCTCTGTTGGGCTGCTTCTTTACAATGCCATAAGAAGTATTAGTCCTGATCATTTCAAGCAGGATCAAGTGACCCTGTATGAAATTGTATGTTTGCTCAGACGTACCACATACTGAAGTGGAAAATCAATGTAACAGATTATTTTTTTAACTTTGTTTGCATCCAAACAAACATTACTTTAGAACTTAGTTGTGATCCAACTTTTTGAATTGAAAAACTGCAGTGAATATAAAAATAATCTGTTTTTTGAACATTAAAGCATGTCAACATATTCTGTTACACCAAATACACAAAATAATGATCTTTAAAAAAGCATCATATGACCCCTTTAAACAAGGACTGTGCCAAAATGCAAAATATGTTTTGATGATTTTTAATTGAACATAAAAACTTCTTAAAACAATGTTTGTGCTCCGAAAAGAATAAAGCAATACTATAACAACTTTTCATGATCCAATGGGTAAAATCAAGTCTTGCCTGACATTATCTACTATTTAGGATTTAATTGAAAATGAATCACATTACAAAAGTTATGAATGCTGTTTCATTTTATCTTGAGTGTTATACAGATTTGTCCGTCATAAGACTCAAAGACTCAAACGATTAACCGTGCTTTGTACTATGTTCCTCCAGGTTGGGTTCTTTGGTTATGTGAGCTTCACAGATAACATTGCCGGGAACGTACTGATGAACTTTCCATCTAACCTGGTAACGGAAATGATCCGTGTGGGCTTCATGATGTCTGTGGCTGTGGGCTTTCCTATGATGATCCTGCCCTGCAGACAGGCTATCAACACTATGCTATTCGAGCAGCAGGTAACAGTTTTACAAAGACAGAGGTTTTCAAACTTTTTGGTGCCATGTTTCCCTTGCAACCGACCCCCTTCCTAAAATATATAGACAGCAATATATTTTCATGTATAAAAATCAGTTTATACTGTAATATATTATGAATACAGTATTTCAAATATTATATTATATTATAACTTATATATGATATAATATATATATATATATATGTGTTTTTGTTTTCCTACATAATTTATCTCACTAAACTTACACTAAACCTCCTTGTTGGCTCCCTTTGGGTTCCTGGACTTCAGTAACCCCAGCACTTCTGTTTTATTGCATTTACCATTTACTTTTGAGAACCTGAATAGTGTAGTGTTGGATTGACCTATTTTAAAGTAGAATTGAGACAGGACTGTCAGAAGTCCCTGTGATGGTTGTACATACTGTATCAACAACAACATCCCATTTTGTCCACCAAATTAATACCCTTTTTTAAACATAGCAAAATTCTTGGCCTATTTATAAAATAATTTACTTGCCACCATCTGGACATTGTCTGGACAAACTCAGGTGTCTCCTCCTTCCTGATGCACATAAACTGCACCAGCTGCAGAAGTATTTTGCTAAATTTAATGGACTCAATAAAGACTTCATTGAGCCTAACAGGGCTTTACACAGGGCTGATGTCAGACCCCAAGTCTGGTCTCAGTCAGCATGCATTTGCCTGCTCTGTCCCTCAGTATGGATCCCTTGAGATCCAAAGTCTCCTTCCACCTGTCAGACACCAGTGATCCAGCCTCCACGGACAGCAGACTGCTGGGGCACGGAGAGATTCAGGAGGAAATAAAAGGGGCTGGATTGATGAGAATAGGTCCAGATCTCCTCCATAAACCAGCCAAGACATTGGCTCGCTGTCTCACCGCCGCTGCCACGCTGAATCAGCTCAAATCACGGCTGGATTCGCGGTCGGGCGAAGGGTTTTATGTTGTCGTTAAATCTGGCATTTTGACAACAGAGTGGAGGGGGGTTTATGAAGCTTGCATGCCAAACCCAATATCCTTACATGCATTTCACTTGTTCAGTCATAACAAAGGCTTGGAGAACTGCATGTGTGCCTGGAATCTAGTAACAGGTTTGTGAAAGTGCTCTGTTTGTCTCTGTTTTTCAGCAAAAGGATGGCACCTTCGCCGCAGGTGGGTATATGCCACCACTTCGCTTCAAGAGCATCACTCTTTGCATTGTTTTTGGCACCATGTTGGGCGGCATCCTCATTCCTAATGGTAAGTCTGTTTGTGTTACTCTCGCTAATACCCCATGACGTCACACCCCACTTTATCTCCCCTTTTAAAATATCTCTCTGTCAATCACTCCTTATCCTTCCCCTCTATACCGTCCATTCATTATCAGCGGAACAGGATGATAAAGATGTATGTTTTAGGCAATGGTGGGGTGGGCCATGTTTTATTCATTCTTCATGGAGATTGGCTGTTGCTGGCTTGGGCTCCATTTGGCTCAGCGGTCCCAATTAGACTAATAGAGAAGGGAAGGTGAGACTCGCAGAGACGATTGGATGGGGGAAAGGCATAGCTCTGTCCTCCATGACATCTCTGCTGGCCACTTGGGGTGGGCCATGTTTTATTCATTCTTCATGGAGATTGGCTGTCGCTGGCTCGGGCTCCATTTGGCTCAGCGGTCCCAATTAGACTAATAGAGAAGGGAAGGTGAGACTCGCAGAGACGATTGGATGGGGGAAAGGCATAGCTCTGTCCTCCATGACATCTCTGCTGGCCACTAGCGTGTCCTCACGGCCACAAATCCAACCATAGGGAAGCAGACACTGCAGGGCATAAATTTGAGTAAAACAATATGGCTGCTCTCAGGATGAAAAACACCCCCTGGGCCCACTGCCCAGCCTTGCAACAGAAATGATCCGTGTGGGCTTCATGATGTCTGTGGCTGTGGGCTTTCCCATGATGATCCTGCCCTGCAGACAGGCTATCAACACCATGCTATTCGAGCAGCAGGTAACAGTTTTACAAAGACAGAGGTTTTTAAATTTTTGATGCCATGCACCCCCAAATATGAAGTTTCCCTTGCGACCGAGCCCCTTCCTAAAATGTATAGATAGCAATATATGTTTGTATATAAAAATCTATTTATACTGTAATATATAATATTATAAACATGTCAAATATTATATTGCAACAATATTATTATTAATTATTTTTATTATTTTATAGTTTTACATTTTTCTACACCATTTTTCTCACTAAACTGCATTTACCAATTACGTTTGAGATCCTGAATGAGATACTGAGTGTGGACAAGGATTTACCTATAATAAAGTAGAATTGAGACTGTCAAAAGTCCCTGTGATGTGTATTGTGACTGGTTGGAACTGGTTGTACACATCCCCGTTTGCCCACCAATTTAACCTACAAAATATACCCATTTTTTAAACATCCCATAATTCTTGGCCCATGTTTAAAATAATTTACTTGGCACCATCTGGACATTGTCTGGACAAACTCAGGTGTCTCCTCCTTCCTGATGCACATAAACTGCACCAGCTGCAGAAGTATTTTGCTAAATTTAATGGACTCAATAAAGACTTCATTGAGCCTAACATATTTACACAGGGCTGATGTCAGACCCCAAGTCTGGTCTCAGTCAGCATGCATTTGCCTGCTCTGTCCCTCAGTATAGATCCCTTGAGTTCCAAAGTCTCCTTCCACCGCTCAGACACTCGTGATCCAGCCTCCACGGCCAGCAGACTGCTGGGGCACTGAGAGATTCAGGAGGAAATAAAAAGGGCTGGATTGATGACAAAAGGTCCAAATCTCCTCCATAAACCATCCAAGACATTGGCTCGCTGTCTCACCACCACTGCCACGCTGAATCAGCTCAAATCACGGCTAGATTCGCGGTTGGGCGAAGGGTTTTATGCTGTCGTTAAATCTGGCATTTTGACAACAGAGCGGAGGGGGTTTATGACGCTTACATGCCAAACCCAATATCCTTACATGCATTTCACTTGTTCAGTCATAACAAAGGCTTGGAGAACTGCATGTGTGCCTGGAATCTAGTAACAGGTTTGTGAAAGTACTCTGTTTGTCTCTGTTTTTCAGCAAAAGGATGGCACCTTCGCCGCAGGTGGGTATATGCCACCACTTCGCTTCAAGAGCATCACTCTTTGCATTGTTTTTGGCACCATGTTGGGCGGCATCCTCATTCCTAATGGTAAGTCTGTTTGTGTTACTCTCGCTAATACCCCATGACGTCACACCCCACTTTATCTCCCCTTTTAAAATATCTCTCTGTCAATCACTCCTTATCCTTCCCCTCTATACCGTCCATTCATTATCAGCGGAACAGGATGATAAAGATGTATGTTTTAGGCAATGGTGGGGTGGGCCATGTTTTATTCATTCTTCATGGAGATTGGCTGTTGCTGGCTTGGGCTCCATTTGGCTCAGCGGTCCCAATTAGACTAATAGAGAAGGGAAGGTGAGACTCGCAGAGACGATTGGATGGGGGAAAGGCATAGCTCTGTCCTCCATGACATCTCTGCTGGCCACTGGCGTGTCCTCACGGCCACAAATCCAACCATAGGGAAGCAGACACTGCAGGGCATAAATTTGAGTAAAACAATATGGCTGCTCTCAGGATGAAAAACACCCCCTGGGCCCACTGCCCAGCCTTGCAACACAAGTGCAGCGTGGAGGAAGGATGGTAGGAGGCAGATAGAAGGATGAGGGGGGGGGGCGTGTGATGGAGCGGTCTGGGGAGAAAGACTGATGGAGGATGGATGTGGTGATTCAGGAGATGAGATGGTGTAGATTGCCTGTGCCATTTTTTCCGGTTTAAACTGCCTCCTCATGCTGGGTCTGAATATAGTGCAGGTTGGAATAGATTTGTATACTTAGTTGCTGTTTCATTTTGGTTTATTTCTTAGAGCAATTAGCCACCTAAGTCTGTGCTTTACAGTGATTTTTACAACTGTTAAAATAGTGTTATATGACTTACAGTGAGTGTCAAGGGCAGTAAAGTTTAAATATTTGTAAAAACAAATCAGATAATATTACCTGTTCATGTTGTTAATTTAGTTCAGGCTTGGGTTTAATAGAAAATGTTTCTTGAGCACCAAATCAGAATATAAGAATGATTTCTGAAGGATTATGTGACACTGAAAACTTGCCATCACAAGAGCAAATTACATTTTAAAATATATTAAATAGAACTTTTAAATTGTAAAAATCTCACGTTATTACAGTTTTACCGTATTTTTGATTAAATAAATACTGCCTAGGTGAGCGTAAAATACTTTTTTCAAAAACATTTAAAAACAAATCTGAAACATTTCGAAAAAATTTTGTTTTTAAAAACTACTTTTTATCTTGAAAAATATTCTTCAAAAGGAAACTTTCAAGTTTCATTCAAGAGCAATGAGCAATGACTGCAAGTAGAAATCTGATAGCATTAATGGGCAATGAATAATTAGAGTTCTTAACTGCAACATACTTACACAAATCTATTCTTCCAAGTAATATTAGCCTTACATTTGTTTTGATTTTGTAATGTAGTTACAATACATTAATATAGAATTCAGCTGTGTATTGGCTGTTTTATAGCTTAAAATATGACTCAATCATATTTTATACCTGGATCTATTGGTTGAATTCTATGATTTTTTTTTTAGATGCGAATTTAGTGGTGCATGTTAAGGTGAGTCTCACTGTTACTATTGCTTAAAATTACAGTTAGGGGTTTGTTGAGTCAAGTACATTTGAAATCAGTAAACTTTGACGTATAACTAATATTACCTCAAATTTTTTATTCATCATATTTAGAGACCAGGATACCACTTCAATCATTTAGCAATGCCCTAGCAACCACTAATCAACAGCCTGAAGACCTTAATTTCATGTAGTTCATATACTTTTTTTGTAAAAATCTTTTACAGAATGGTTCTATAAAATAAATTTGTTTGTGTGCGTGTGCCATAGTGGAGACCATCCTGGGTTTGACTGGAGCCACCATGGGCAGTCTGATCTGCTTCATCTGCCCAGCTCTCATCTACAAGAAGATCATGAAGAACGCCTGGACTGCACAGGTACAGCACATCCGACAGTCAATGTTTTACTCATCTGACGTATCTATATAAATAAAACTTGTGTGATGATATTTCACAATATAAATTTTTACTGTGTTTTTCAAATAAATGCAGCCTTGGTTAACATAAAAAACTGACCCCAAAGTTTTGATTGGAAGTGTAGCTCATTAAAGCAAAGAGGGCAAAGAATCTAAAGAGAGTGCATCAATTTTGTCTGTTTGATATGTGATGTGATCTGAAAGAAGAATGCACTGGAATTGTGTGTCAGGGAGAAAAGGCAGCTGCTCCTCTTTCTTTGTAATGGAGTTTGTCATTAATTTTGATATCCTGCGAGTGCACTGACTTGCTGTGTGGAGTCATTCCCACAGTGTGTGTGCTGGCACTGTGCCTCGGGCTGTGCCCCCTCTGTCTCCTGCCCAAATTACAGATGCCTTTACTCTTTCACAATAGAGTGAAAGCAACTGAGGTCTCATCGTAGATGATGTGTAACCACAACAGTGCTGATGTCTTCCTCACCTCTTTTATATTGTGTGGTTTGCGAGCAGCCAACATACTGATGTTCATTGTTCTTTAGTGCCAACCATGCCACGCTTCCATGCCCATGAGTCTCTGCCCACAGGGTTACTTCCCAAACACTGGAGTCCACCCAAATGGGTGGCAGTCCTGATACTGGGGCAAGGACCATTCCAAAAGAGCTTCTTGTCATAACGAGCACAGCAGATGTTTGTGTTGGCATGAGCGGATGATGCCAGTCTACCTTGTCTCATGCCAAGCAGCCTGACATGTCCAGGTCCACCGCTGCACACAGAATACCCACAGATCAGGGCCGTGGAACTGGGAGGGACCTGCTTTAATAGATTTCATCAGCGTTTGGTGCACCGTTAATGTGACTGTAGGACATTATTGTAGATTGGATGCCAGCAACGCCCTTGCCAGCTTTGTATATTGAATTTTAAACCACAAAAATTAAATGTGCACTGATTCTATTGGAATTGAAACAGTTTTATTAGGGATGGGGGAAAATTGATTCTATCGTTTATCGATTTGAATCAAATCACAGATTTGTTTTTCAAACAAAAAGATGAAAGTCAGCTGTGAGAGTAGCATAACACTGGGACAGTTTAGAGAGCGCACACTTCACTGCGTGAGGAGGAAAAACAAATACATCCTTCCCTATTTTCAGTTAGGGAAAATATTTTTTGTTTTTTGTTTTGTTAATGCATTTCAAAAATATTTATTACCATTTTTATTACTTTCATTTCATTTACCAGTTTTATCTTTTCAAACGTTTTATTGTAGTTTTAGGATTTTTTGTTTTTGTACTGAGTAGTTTTACTATTTGTCTCAGGGCAGCCATATAGTCAGCTTGAATGGAATTTGTGTCATATTATTGAGTTCACCAAACCGTGTAGAAAAAGAACATACATTTCATGGTTTACATTTGATTTGGGGGAGGGGGGGGGTTCTTTAAAACATATTCAACTGTTTATCACAGTCAAATAAAATCAAATATATGCATGTATCAAATTGAAATTAGATTCAAAATGGACATTGCTGACCCCAAGAATTGAAATGTGGGATTTCAAACAATTCCCACCTCTAGTTTTTAATGTCAATAGTAATTAGAAAGATATTTCAAAGGAGAAATCTTTTCAAAATTTAGAATGTACTTCTTAAAAATGCAATGTTTGAAAATATTATTTTTGTATCATCATGTAATTTTTAAATAGTCAGGGGTTTAATTGATGGGCTAACCATTGAGTGTACACATCATATTCAAGTTAGTTTTCAAAGTAAAAGTTATTAAAATATGTAATTAATTTTGATGTCATTTAATCTGATTAATATAAAAAGGTCAAATTATCTGTTTATGTATGTAATATTTAACAGATAGTTATATATTTAACTTGCTGACACTGTGATATAATTTACAGCTTTTGTTTCAAACAGCAACATGTGCATGAGACATTTGTTGTTCATTATATAATGGAGTTGTATCACTTTTATTTTATTTATTTGATTATTTATGTCCCACAAAAATATCAAAATGAAAAAAAAAAAAAAAGAGAACCTACATCACACCATTGATACTTAACTGAAATATGTTAAAGGACCATATACACTAACTTTCTTTTCTCTTTTAATTTCTCTCTTCATCTCTTTTTTTTAAAGCTGGTTCTGTGGGTCGGTCTCGGCATCCTGCTCATCAGTACCTTCACCACGCTGTCCATTTCCTCCAACGAGCCACAGAAATTAATTCCCCCTCCGGATGTCCCTGCAAAAACTGAGGACAAGCCTCCCATCCTTGTTGCCCATGAGTTGCCTAAAGGACCAGGTACATCTATGCTTTATATTGATGAAGAGAAAGTTATCAGTTGACAAATGACACAAAATAGAAAAGGAAGTTCTGAAAGGACAAGTTATAATGAGAAAAAGAACAGTGAAGGAGCACAAATGATGGCAGGCCTCTCTTTGAATCAGTGACCTGAATGATGCCCTTCAAACCTGAGCGCTCGCTGTCCCAGAGCAGCAGTGAAACGGCCGGTGGCGATTTCCCGTTATGGCTCCGGTCAGGGGAGGGAGATGGGAGGGCATCCAAATCTGGGTGAGGGCAGGAACAACAGTGTTTCCTCCAACACGGGCCGATACAGGACAGAGGCTCATAAAAAAGGCAGATACCAGGAGCGTCCCAACAACTTCATCCACCATTACCTCTCCTTTTCTGTTCTGCCACTCCTCCTTCCTCTCCCTCTCACTCCCTCCCGCTGACTGACACTGGCATTTATCATTGAGCGGACACCCACTTCCACACCTGTTTCCTGTTTACGGCGTGCTGGTGAGGGCAGCTGTGGGCTCAGTGAGCGAGTGAGTGGAACATGGGGCATGTAGAGGTGTGAGTTTGCAGCTGTAAGCACATGCACGCTTTGCTTTTCAGGATTGTAGGGAAGTGCACCCCATCCCACCCCCTGTACTGTACACTCTTTCTTTCTTTTCTGCTCCCATAGATAATGTTTATCAAAACTGCTGTCCTGTCTCATTTGCAATGAGTAACTCCTTTCTGCGTATGCATAAATGCTGTCGTGCAGTAGATTATCTGTTATGGTAGTACACTACAGGATCAGGTTAAAGGAAGGTGTGGACATTGTAAATATTCAAAGGCTGTTTTGCACAGGATGAGTGGCAAGGTTATATGGAAAGCACTGAGCATCTATCTCATACCCTTATTAGAAATCTCCTCTATGGTTCAGCTCTTGTCTTGTTGGTCTTTCATACTCTGCTGCCCTCTACTGGTGTTTCTGTGACACTCTCAGTGGGATTTTTAGGACTGCTGCAGCAGAAAAGACATGCACATACGTGTTATTACAAAATCAGTCTTAAGTCACATTTGCAATGAGTAACTCCTTTCTGCGTATGCATAAATGCTGTCGTGCAGTAGATTATCTGTTATGGTAGTACACTACAGGATCAGGTTAAAGGAAGGTGTGGACATTGTAAATATTCAAAGGCTGTTTTGCACAGGATGAGTGGCAAGGTTATATGGAAAGCACTGAGCATCTATCTCATACCCTTATTAGAAATCTCCTCTATGGTTCAGCTCTTGTCTTGTTGGTCTTTCATACTCTGCTGCCCTCTACTGGTGTTTCTGTGGCACTCTCAGTGGGATTTTTAGGACTGCTGCAGCAGAAAAGACATGCACATACGTGTTATTACAAAATCAGTCTTAAGTCGCCGGGGTATATTTGTAGCAATAGCCAAAAATACATTGTATTGGTCAAAATTATTGATTTTTCTTTTATGCCAAAAATCATTAGGACATTAAGTAAAGATCATGTTCCATGAAGATATTTTGTAAATTTCCTACCGTAAATATATCAAAACTTAATTTTTGATTAGTAACATGCATTGCTAAGAACTTCATTTGGACAAATTTAAAGGCGATTTTCTCAATATTTTGATTTTTTTTCACCCTCCGATTCCAGATTTTCAAATAGTTGTATCTCGGCTAAATATGTCCTATCCTAACAAACCATACATCAATGGAAAGCTTATTTATTCAGCTTTCAGATGATGTATAAATCTCAATTTCGAAAAATTTACCCTTATGACTGGTTTTGTGGTCCAGGGTCACATATGGCTTGGATTGAAATTAATATAGCCAGTTCATTAGTTTGAGACTCGTATTTTAAAAAATCCCTCTGAAAATGCATGAATAAAAATGGACCCCATTTGTTTCTAATACACGTTCCTGGTCTAATTTTGAAATGTTATTCCAAAGGATATTTTTTTCTTCATTGTAGTTTATTGAAAAGTATTAACTATTTTTTTTGTCTCTGAAACAGCTTTACTTTTTGAATGATGTCACCAAACCCTGTAATTTGTCAACTCTAACCACCTGTCATATACAGTAGCATTCAGAAATGTAGGGTCAAGGAGATGTTATAATGTTTTTGAAAGAAGTCTCCTTTTCTCGTCAACTTTTCAATTTTAATATATTTTAAAATGTGATTTATTCCTGTGGTTGCAAAGCTGAATTTTCAGTATTCATTACTTCAAGATGCTGATTTGGTTCTCAAGAAACATTTCTTAGTAATATTGATGTTGAAAACAATTGTGATGCTTAATAATGTTGTGGAAATGGTGATACATTTTTTTCAGTATTCTTTGATAAATAGGAACAGTATTTATTTAAAATAGAAATCTTTTGTTATATTATAAGTCTTTACTGTCACTTTTGATTAATATAATATGTCCTTGCATAATAAAATTCTTAATTTATTAAAAAAATTAATCTTACTGACCAAACTTTTGAATGATGGTATATACTGTCAAAGGTTTGGACACAATTGACTGAATTTGTATTTCTTATCTTAAAAACCCTTAATTTTAAGACTTTATTTATATATTTGAAATTGACAAGTTGGACTGTATAGCAAAAACTTGATGCAATTCTGATGGTTAAAATCAAGTTCTGCTTTTTTTGTTTACTTAAAAAATGTCAGATTATAAAACTAAAATAGCTTGTGTATGCTGTTTCATGTTGACTTTAAATCTTATCTTTACACTGCTTCCACTGAAGACCTATGCAGTGTTGTTAACATCATGTAGCTTGATTCTGGTTTGTCTGTACCCAAAGTAGGGTCTTCATCAAAGTAACTTGAGTTACACTGCAAATTACATCTGACAGGCCTCAGGCAAAAGCTAATTCAAGAACAAAAAAATGAAATTTTGAGACTGCCATTAAAGAGCCACATGAAGCCTGAGAGCCATGGGTGTGGGACAAATTTGACATGTCTTTCACCCCACACAGAAACTTTACATTATTTTTTTGTACATTGTGACATCTAATGATCTGTGTGTTTGTAGTGCAAGAGAATAGACTGGAACCTGATCTAGGAGAGAAGCCAGATAGGCCACCAATTGAGGTTGAACAGCCAGTAGAGAAGGCAGCAGCAGAGCCCCCTCAAATTAAAGTTCCTGTGGAAGTGGCTGAGCGAAAGGATGAGGAGGAAAAGGTTCAGCTGGACCGCCCTGAAGCAGGTAATGCATTAATTTAGCGGTGTAATTTAGATGGTTTTGTGACATATGAGAACCTGTGAGCAGTTACTGTGATCTGGCTTTTCTTCAACAGGTGTTGCGGTCCCAGATGGGGAAGCCCATCGCCATGAGCCGCCCATCCCTCATGACCGAGTTCAGATAGATGAGATCAAAAACCAGGAGGAACTAGATGAGGACGAAAAGAAACAACCTATAGTTGTGGAAGAAGAAAAGAAACTACCTGCCGGAGAGGAGGAGGAGCTTCTTGCTGAGCAGGGGGCGGGGCAAGCACAAGAGTTGGAAGCTGTAAAAGAGGAGGAGTCAAAAAAAGATGCGGTGAAAAGGGATGTCGATCATGACCAGCATGCAGTTAATGAAGTGTTGGACAAGGCAAAAAATTCAGAGGATCTGAAGAACGTCGAGCCCTTGGTGGTCCATAAAGAACCAGACAACCTGCCTGAATTGAAAGAACAGCATGATGAGAATGAAGCGCACCAAGAGAAGAAGCCAGAGGAGATGGACAAAGCCCCTGAACCCCAGGGTGAGAAATGTGAGTGAACACATTAGCATCGGCTTAGCAACTCTCTGGCAACCACTCAGATCTTCAGAAAATGTGAACATCTAGTTTCTGTTTAGTGTACATGACTGATAAACTCTTTAGTGGCTTGTAAACAATGTCTTTGACCTTTTGTTTTTATTCATATTCTGTTGATATGACATGGCACATCATAAGGTCCAAGCATATGACCTTTTCCACTCTGTAATGATTTGTTCATTCATTGACTGCTTCCTGCAGTGAAGGAGAAGTTTCTGGTGCAGGAGCACAAGGAACAGAAGGTTCCAGATGGAAAGGATGTAGGGGCGGACAAGGATGGAGATGGGGACAAGATGGAAGGTGAGTGCTTTGTCCATCAGAACATTGACAGAACATTGTCCAGAATCTATAAGAAATGAGGTTTGAAATATAAAATGTTCTGTTCAGTCATTCAGTCAGATGTTTGAGCTTACAGGTGCGATCTTTGCTTCTCTTTGCCTGGTTCTGTTCTACTTCATCACTCTTAGCTGGATGGCTTTGAACTGGATTTATTTTTATAGTTTTCATTTAGATTTTAGTTTAAGTTTCTATTTACCTTTATTTTTGTTACAGTTTTATTTCATCTTAAACTTTAGTTAATTGCCAAGGCAACATTCCTAATTTTCATTAAGTGTTTTTTAAAGTAATATTTATATTTTTATTTTATTTCAGCTTTATTTCAATTGCAGAGATTTTTTAATAGTTTTAGTTAACCATAACAACACTGGTAGTCAAGCAATGCAATGCAATCTTTACACTTGAAAATATAGTCATTGATATGTAAAACCTACTTAGTGCTAAGTTTATAAGTTGCCCACTAGACAGTAGCTTTATGAACCAGTGTCCTGCCATAACTTTTATTATATTGTTGTTTTAGCATGACTAGAACATAATATTTACCAATTAGCATCAAGGACAGATCTGTTTTGTAATAATACATATTTTTTGCACTGTACAACTTGCCATTTTTCTTTTCCAAATGCTTGTTTTACTTTCTCTCAGCAAACTGGCCAACATCTGAAATGTCACATTGCATTGCTACACTCAGATATACTGTAAAGATGCACCAAATCTTAAATCTCTGTCTCTTTCACATGGCTTGTTTTTATTAAGACACTTTGCCCTCTCTCTGCTGTCTTTTTCTCTTTTGTTTCTCGATTTCTTATCTTCCTCCGCCATTCTGTTGTGCCACGGACTCCTGCCTCCTACAGTGATTAAAAAGATTGTTGCAGGTACGAGATGGTGTGTCTTATGTCTGCTGTTCTCCAACAGTCATCTTAACAGTCATCCTCTCATGCTTCAACCCGTATAGCTGTTAATAACCAATAGTCTGTTACCTGTGTTGATACATTGACCATTATTGTAGCTTACAGATGTGTGTACTGTACTATAGCTCTGGAAACATAACTGAACAGCCATCTGGTATTAATTGGGATCCCTAGTCTTTCTCTTGTTTGACGATGAAAGTGATTTATTTGGTAGAATTCCATATTGATGTTGTTAGGGTTCCATATTGACTAGGACTACATAGCAATGCCCTACAAAGTGCATAGAAACACTCTAGAATCTGAGCAATGCACTACAGAATACACAGAACAGCATAGCAATCTCCTAATAGATGTATAGCAATGCCTTACTAACCATGTAGAAACGTCCTACAAACCACCTAAAAAACTTAACAGTGCTCTGGAAACTTATATAACATAGCATAACAAATAGTGGGAAAGTTATCAGGCCAAATACAACATAATGGTTGTATGGACAGGCACCACTAACATTTTCTTCAGAAAAACTAAAAAAAATATACATATTTTTGGTCATTTTAAATTATGCTCCTTAATTTGATAAACAGTCAGATTGACAAGTATGTTTGACCACAGTAAATTACACTTTTATAAGCATCCTACAATATATTCATTCTAACTTATCTTTTACCTTTCTGCTTGGCTGATCCTCAGAGGGTCAGTTGGACCACGCTGTGCTGCTCCAGGTAATTAAGGAGCAGCAGGAACAGCAGAAAAGACTTCTGGACCAACAGGAAAAACTCCTGGCTGTGATTGAGGAGCAACACAAGGAGATCCACCAAATTAAGGAGGGAGAAGAAGAACCAAAGGCAGTCGAACAGCAGAAAAGACATGTGGACCATGAAGAAAAACACTTAGATGTGAATGAGGAGGTCCATCAAGTAAAGGAAGGAGAAGATGAGCCAAAGGCAGCAGCAGGTGAGTCTGAAAGTCAGCGAACTTGTCTAGACGTAAAAAGTGAAAGTTTTTCTGCCACTGGTGAACAATAAAAAGAGAATGATTCAGTTAACCTCTAGTGTTACCAGTGTTGTGCTTCCTGCTGATGTGATCTTGCATGCAGTGCAGTAATGAAACACATTGTGTGTTTTTTAGGAGAGGGTGTAGGTGAGTTGGGGAACATTGTGCTGAAGGAGATCGAAGGGATGGAAGGGGCAGTGAAGCCTATAGTTACCGCTGTCGCTCCAGACCAATTCCAGCAGCCCCAGGGAGAGACAAAGCATGTAGCTGCAGCTGTCGCAGGGCCTGAAGACCCAGAAGCAAAAGAAGCTGAAGTCGTAGTCGGTCTTCCCAACAATGCCCTTGAAGCGGTGCAAGATGGAGGTGTTAAAGTTCCCAAGAAGGAGGAGCTGGAGCTAAACAACCAAGCAGGGCATGATGGAGCACTACCTCCAGACGTCGGTGCCCGAGGTGTTCCTCTGCGTCCTCGAGAACCAGAACCAGCCAGAATCAATCCTGACACTCTTCCAGAAGAGGAGGAGAGAGTGAGGCAGAAATTGGCCCACCTGGAGGCGGAGAAGGAGAGAATAGAGAAGGAAAAGTTGGAGAAGGAAAGGATTGAGAAAGAGGTGCAGGCCCGTGTCGAGAAGGAGCGGAAGGAACGAGAAAGAAGAGAGGAACTGGCACGTGAGCAGGAGCTAGAACGTGTGCGGCAGCAAAAGGAACAGCTAGAGAAGGAAAGGCTTGAAGCGGAGAGGTTGAAACTTGAAAGAGAGAAGATGGATAAAGAGATCATGGAGCGTGCCGAGAAGGAGAAAAGATTGTTGGAGCAGAAGGAGCAGCTAGACCAGCTGCAGCAGGTCATCGATGCGCGACAGGGTAAGGGAAGTCTTGAGGATGAGAGTTTGAAACGGGAAAGAGAGAAGACTGATAAAGAGATCATGGAGCGTGCCGAGAAAGAGAAAAGGATACTCGAGCAGAAAGAACAACTAGACAAACTACAGCAGGTCATTGACGCAAAGAAGGATGGTGATGCCCCCAAAGCAGGAGAAGCCCTGCCAATGCCTAAGCAAAAAGGAGGCAGGGACTTGAAGGAGAATATAGTTCCACCAGAAGAGGAGAAGAAAGAGGAAAAGAGGAGCAGAGAGGATGGAGGGCTGGACCTTAAGAGGAGACGCAGAGCTGTGGACCCTGAGGGCGGAGGAGGTGCTGACCTGGATCTTCTGCAGGACGTAGGAGGCTTAGACTTACACGCTGACCTAAAGGGGCAGCTCCTGGTGGGACCTCTGATTCACATGCGCCAGCTTAAACAGATGTTTCAGAGGCAGGAGAATGAAGACTAGAGTAGGTTGTTCCAGAATTACAACCTCTGGAACCCAATGAACCTCTCAAAAACAAACATGATCTTGCAGTGAGAAGAATCTCTTTCCTCTTCATTTTAAAAGTAGATGCCTTTATCTAAGACACAACATTCCTTTTGGGTTCGTGTTGACAGTGGGCACTTTGATTTGATCCTTTAGTTGTCCGCCGGGAACGCTGGATCCATAATCTCTTATGAGCTTCCATTATTGTTTTGTGTGAGATTTTGCTGAATCTGGTGTAATAAACGGAATGTCTGGTGTAATAAACTGAGCGGGCCTCACATTAAAAACGCCTTGATGGGCACACAGGGTATTTCAGAATATTGTGTTTTGGACCATCGCATAGGAAAACGGCACAAGTGTACCCCCTTGTGGTTGCTATGGTAAATTGTACGGCTGGTTCTAAAATGTATGTTCTGTGAATGAAAATATGAAGCTAAATTAATATGAGATGCGGTTTTAAAAAATGCAGCTTTTATCTTCTTGCAGAAGCGTGTTAATGTTACTTTGGCCAACAGGTTCAATGGTCCATCTTCTTGAAAGAATAGTGACATGTTGTTATCTGAAACTACAGTCACGCTACGTTAAGACATCTTTGTTTTTTTAGTGAACTGGTGAATTATTCGTTGTCTGAGAATGCCTTAATGGTTTTCAGAAAAGGCCTGATGAAAACATAATTTCTTTGTATTTGTCCAAAATCCTTTATGAAACTTTTTTTTTTTGTAATTTCTTTTTAATTGCAATGAAATTTGTCTATTGAAGGAGTGTCTTGTTTTTCTATGCGTGTCTTCAGGATCAGATGTTCCTTCCAAATGGTTAACTTATGATAGTTTATTTAAAAGTTAACTATATAGTTAACTGTTATAACTAATAGTTAATCAGACCAGCTATAAGTGAATGAAATATTTGAATCATTTATGTTTTGATTTATTTTTTGCTAGCCGAGTTTTTTTTTCTTCTGGTTGTTTCAATGTGTTTCAATTGTCTGTGACTCTTTGTGAAAGTACTCAACTCTCATCTTTTGAGGTTGATCTGAAATTGGACCTTGTATATATTCCAGATTTAGTGTTGAACATAACATTACTGTTTCCCGCAGACAATTCCTTGTTTTCACTCTGCAGCGGCCGGGTTTCTTTTCAGGGTTGCATTGCTTTTCTCTTGAACATGCCATGTTTTTGCATATGAAGATTTGATTCTGGTCAGTGCCTTACGGGGTTTATGTTCTGCATTGATGTGTATTTGAAGTCTGTTACACCCACACTGTGTGTGGATTGCAACTTTTTGTCCCCTATCTGCATTTTCTATACCTTGCTGGTTAAACTAGTCAGGGTAATAGACCGTATTCTCTTGATGAATTTCCTCATCTCGCTTTTGGGGATCTTATTCCTATTTCAAAAGAACGTAAATATATAGAGATATGGTTTGAAGTCATATGAGATTCATTGAAAGCGGTCTGTCTTAGTGGTCAGTAACACTGCACTTATCCATATACAGTTACCAGATGATGTGTGGATCTCTAAAAATAAATCAATTCACATGTTAGCAGATTTCAGAGGTTGATAACTGTTTGATGACCCAAAGTATTTTATTTTGTTCTTAAATTGGGATAAATGAATAAACTTATTTATGTAACAGCAGCTCTTTGTGAAATGTTTGTTGTGTTGCTTGCATCATATTTCTCCTATTTAACTCCTATTATTTATTTGTTTATTTATTTTTACTTTACAAATTGTATGTACTTTATACTTTTTTCTTCTTTGAAGTTCAAGGATTTTATGCGATATATGGTGGTGGTATGTGTTTTTTGCACTTAACTTAATCCTGAACTGGCTAATTTTTGAAAGTACAAATAGTCTCTCAATTAATATTAAGTCATAAATACAACCTGTATGACAACTATACAGGAATTAGAAATGTTTAAAACATTTAAAAATCACTAGTTGACATGCCATGTATTCTATTGGCATAGTAAAGACATTGAGGCACTGTTTGCCAGTGTAATGCTCATTGTGCACAGAACTGATCGTCTGCATAACCCTTTTTAATGTCAAGACAAGTTCCCCTAAACCATTAGATTTTATAGCCAATTTGGACCAAACACAACGGTTTCCACAAGACCATTCTTTTTCAATTAACACCTTGTAGTGCACTGAAAAAGTGTGAATGAAGCCCATATGAAGGAAGGCCACAAACAATGATTGTGACAGCTGAAGCATAACCTGTAGCATGTCTTTTCTTAAAGAAATACAGTTATTGCTTTGCTGGAAATTTTTATACCACTATTCTTCATTCCTCTAATTGGCTGGTTGAATTGTTTGTTGATCCCCACTCATTAGTGGCTGACTTTATGGCCCTTCTATCAATTAACATGTGGCTAATGAGTGTGCAGGTTATGCAGGAAGGGTGTATTTAACAGTGGCATGGCTTTACATTCCATACGAGATGACTAAGAGCCCATAATCTTTTGTGGTGCCAGTGACATACACCCCACGGATACACATTAATCAGCTGGCCTTTCATGTTTCAGCCCGCTTTTGTTTGATTGGAAACAAAACCCCTAAAACCGCCATCCTAGATTTCAGGAGCGAGTCCAAATTTGGAGTTTAACTCGAGCGCTGATCTGCAATCGGCGGTCAAGGCCATGATAATGACCACCCATCACGTAACACCTCATATCTCATTTTGCCGCTCCTTCATGAATTGCACACTCCAAACAACACAGAATGTCTGGTTCTCATTAGTCTGTCTCGTTTATCCCAATTCTGATATACTGATGTGTGGAAACAGCAAAGTAATGATGCAGATGGTGATATAATTCAGTCCAAACTGCCTCTGTATATTATATTGTAATATGTATGAACAAAGGAAGAGACTTATGATTTCACTTTTTATAAAAAAAGACACTTCATTGTGGTTTTCTGCACAATACAATTATCCATCTGAAACACATTATTATATATGTATATTTACAAAGAGAGAAAAATGACAAGCTACTATTAAAAAAAGGACATAGATATTCATCCTCAGAAAAGTTTAACGGTCTAGTTATAATGATCTCAAGTCAACATGATATTTATTCATGATGTTCTTCACTTTACTCCCTTTTTTGCCTGCAAATATAAAACAATTCATTAGAAAAGGCCAGCAGAACATACGTTACACAATTCTTTGCAAATGATATTTATAAACATTAAATGTGTAATATATATATATAAATTAAATGTGTAATTTATTAATAATTAAACTATAAAATACAATAATTTAAATAGCAAATGTATAATCTCACTTTTTTGTGATTCCCCATGTCTCTAATGTAGGTTTGTGTAAATGGGATACTTGTTAGGAAATACTCGTCTATGTACTGCATAATCACAAAAAACACTCACAGCTGATTGAAAGCAGCTTTTTAGTGCTTCAAATTCTTTGACACACATGTTTTTGGTCAGCTCCTGTTTGCCAGTGGTTGTAGAGGCCACACATTTACCATAAGCAGCTGCCTAATAATATAATAAAACAGAACGATGTACAAACAACAACAAAAGCATACATGCATAATACAATGCATCATGTATATATATATAACAATACTGAATGAAGGTGTACCTCTCCTGAACACTGAGCCAACAGCTCTGGGAAGAGCTTCATTCTCGCTCTGCTGCGAGTCCAAACATTTGAACTAGACATAGTTCAAAAACGACCAAATATACTACAATAATCCTTTTATTTATCAGCAAAAATCACTGAGCCGGCTGATAGATGTAATGTGTATATTCAACACGGACAGCGCCATGCTTGTGACCTCTGAGATAACGTGTGTAAACCTCCCATTGACGAGTGGCCAATCAAAGCGTTCATCTGGAGCCTGAACCACATGCACTGCTTTATGATTGGTTGTTTGTTTCTGTTGTAGTTTCCTACTTACAGTGGAGAGCCAGTAGTAACATGTAGTTGATTTCAAAGACGTTCAGGATTTCGAGAAATCCACTCCAGAGTAACTTCCGCATTCGATCACGTGGTCTTTGGAATCACGTTCTATTCGCCACGACATTTTTTTATTCAATTCCGCGAATCGATTCTTTTGAACCGATAACCAAAGAAGTAATGCGTGAAAGAATCGGTTCAGCTGATTCACAGAAAAGGTCCGGAAGTACAAAGCGGACATCGCAACGTCAAACCGGAGTGGGCGAGCTAAACAGACGTCCGTGTTTTTTGTGAAGACATTCTTGGGCAGGCAGGACCTGCACTGTCACCCGCCCTGTGAGCAATGGTACATAGACAGGCGAAAAAACACAGATTTCTTCACCATGGCTTCACTACTGGAACGGTTGGTTTTCCTACAGAAAGTAGGTATCCGTGGAACTGGGAAAATAACGTCATTTCAGCTATCTTTGACGCCAAACCTGGTTTTCTACGTTGTTTATTGGATATCTGGCGTTAGCAGTGGTTAAATAGAAAAAAAAACTAGTTTATCTCTGCATATGATTGATATTTCTGTTTAAACAGAGTGGAAAAAGACAACCATAGTAACCATGGTACTTCCTTGGTGTTTTGAAAATATACCATAGTATTATCATGGTAATACTACACACCATGGTATATATTATGGTAATACTACTACTATTTCTAAGTACCATATAAATATCATTACATTCAGTGCCATAATATATGTAAACGTACACATACTACTAATATTGTGCCATGGTGCTGACTTTGTGAGTGGATTCAGATGGTAAAAGCACTGTGCTATTGTACTATATATATATATAAATGTATATATATTTTTTTTTATATATATATAAGTCCTGCCATGTCAAACTTAAGGTGAGTTTGGGTTGGTTGCCTTGGCTGGAAACCAAAAGGTTGTAGGTTCAAACCCTGAAAAGTGTAATGAACTTCCTTTATTGAGCTCAGTGTTTTTAAATGTTTTTGGCTTTAGTTGTGTTTATTGTGCCTTTTAACGCTGTCCAAGGTCCTGAAGGTTCTCCTGCATTTATGTGGCCATGGACCACCTCACTTCCTCACAGAGCTACGGCGGAATGCTACATTTATACAAGAAGTAATTGGTAAGCAGATCTAAACAGTTCAAGATGAACACTGTAGCACTTTTAAAAGGAAGTCATATTAACTGATTCTAAGGAGTCTGTGTACACACATACAACCATGTTTCAATCAATAAACCCAGAGCATCAGTAACTCTTGAACTCTTTTAGTCAAGATGCAGTGATGGCAGCAACCCATTTTACTTGGTGAAACAGGATATTCAGTAGGGTGGGACTTGGTTTTAGCCACTAGGAATTGATTGGATTGTTGATTGGATTTGAAAGTGGTCTCTGTATGATGTGAAAATAGGATGGATTGGTGACGCCAGCCAAACTGGGTAGTCATTTAAAGGCAAAGCAGTAATTTATATTTTGACACGCTGTCCAAGGTCCTGAAGGTTCTCCTGCATTTATGTGGCCATGGACCACCTCACTTCCTCACAGAGCTACGGCGGAATGCTACATTTATACAAGAAGTAATTGGTAAGCAGATCTAAACAGTTCAAGATGAACACTGTAGCACTTTTAAAAGGAAGTCATATTAACTGATTCTAAGGAGTCTGTGTACACACATAAAACCATGTTTCAATCAATAAACCCAGAGCATCAGTAACTCTTGAACTCTTTTAGTCAAGATGCAGTGATGCCAGCAACCCATTTTACTTGGTGAAACAGGATATTCAGTAGGGTGGGACTTGGTTTTAGCCACTAGGAATTGATTGGATTGTTGATTGGATTTGAAAGTGGTCTCTGTATGACGTGAAAATAGGATGGATTGGTGACGCCAGCCAAACTGGGTAGTCATTTAAAGGCAAAGCAGTAATTTATATTTTGACGAAAATGTGCAAAGACATATGTTTCTTGAGCACCAAATCAGCATATTAGAATGATTTCTGAAGGATCATGTGACACTGATAATGCTAAAAATTTTGCTTTGCCATTCCAGTTAAAAATTGCATTTTAAAACACATTAAAGGGGTCACATGATGCTATTTTAAAGATCATTATTTTGTGTATTTGGTGTTAACAAAATGTTGACATGCTTTAATGTTCAAAAAACACATTATTTTTCAAATACTGTACATTATTGGAAATGTAACACCCCTTACCATAATCGCGAGCTTCAGCCTTCAAAGTAAATATCAAGACAGTTAATAATGTCGTTAGTTTTACCATCGGTTCAAGCCCGAAAGGGCAACAGAGTC